TGGTTGTTTCTGTTGCTGTTTTTCTTCGTTTTGTTTGACCGTTGGACTGTGTTCGCGGCCTGCCAGGCACATTGCCTACAGCTCTCTCGCCGCCAAGATGATGACCGTTACCTCAACCTATTTTCATTGCTTTTTTTCAGGTATTAGAACCTTGGAAAACAACCCCATTCATCCCGATTTGCATCATGTAAGCGCCAGGCCAGCAGGTGGTCACCAACTGTTTTGCAAACTATATCTGCCGAGCTTCCGCTCACGCGAGGGTCCCGTCGCGGCCGTGCCGCAGACCGCGAACAGAGCGGACTTTGTCATCGGCCGGACGAGGAGCGAGATCAATGGCTAGCGCTTATGCTCGAGGTGGGCGAATTGCAATTAAAGTAGCTCGACATCTGATTAGGGTAGATACAAATACTCATATTGCAGAGTAGCATGCCGGCCATGTAAAGTGATCCTACAGATGAATCCATTAACTTCATTATGAACTTAACGGATTCATCTGTATCTACACTGGACTACAAACGCGATATCATGTTGCGTTTGTAGTCCAGTGTGGATAAATTCATCTTCACTTCCTTGAATATCCATTCCACTCAAATCCTCGATGATGAAATAGCCTTATTGAATGCTCTCTGCTCTACCCTCAAGTTGCTTCCTTGATAAAGAATTTCCATGAACCACCATCTGCTTTATCCAGAGTCACCGTAGGGACTGTATCCCTTCCTATATATATTTATCAACGCAGGAAGCGGCTCACCCAGACCACTTTTGACGTACAATGTCTAGCCCTGGAGCCGTCCTTCCATAGGACTGTGTGCATGAAGTATCATACTATCTGGACTATTGACTGCTTGATATTTCAATACGAGATTCCTTTTATGGCCGTTATATGCCACCAGCTGACTATTATAACCGCCCGACCGAGCGATTCCAATGGCAGTTCCGTCAATAAACCCATACAGTTTCCAAATACACTGCTCTTGTCTAAAATGGCTCGTGAAAATCTTTCCGCTTGACCTTGTATGAACTGGGAGCTGATTCTTCCTGGAATCAGCTCACTCCTTGCATCAAGTAGATTTTCAATAGATTCCCAAAAGCTTTCAGAAAGGTGAGAAGTGTGTTTAGAAAAGAACATGTCTATATCCGTCCATATTGATGGTGTACAGAGGCGGCGAAGAACAATAAAAGTAGATGTAGTAGGAGAGACAGAGTATCTTTTACGAGTAGAACATGTCTTTACATTCTGCCACCCCATTGCATACATCATTCTTAAAACATTTGCGTTGTTGAAGCATTAAGTATAAAATTCATTCCGACTCCCTAATGCAATCGCAGTTGATGGAAAACTGCGACGTGTTAATGCGATTGCTTCTCGAGATAGACTTGTTCAATTCAGTTTGTTCGTCCTGCTTATTTGAAGCGATGAAAGTGATGCACGTTGACGATGAGAAAAGAGATGCTGGATGTTGCTGATGCCGTTTGGGATCACAACGCAATGATGAGAGTATTCGCCCGTTTACCAATTGATTTTGGCGTGTAATCGCACTGCCTACCATCGGTCATGGTACATCCGATCACAGTATTTAACCTTGGTCACATATTTAACCTGGATTCTTTTATAAAGTGGACCAGGTTCATTCTGCTAATCGCCCTAAGAGAAAGCGATCCAGTTTTGTATCACAGAGCCGCATTGGGACGGTCCAGTGCGTATCGCATTCCGAATCGCTTTCTTGCCCAATGCCGTCAATCATGCAGCCAAAACGCTGTCCAGTATTATCCCTCTGTCGACCTGATCGCTCATGCTTTCTCAAGGCCCAATCGAGCGCGCGTTGGCCAGTGCAGTTCAGCATCGAGGTAACACCAACACAGATGAAATATGGGATGGATCACCGGCCATCGTCGCTCCTCCGCGTGCCAAACAATATTTCTACACTGCGACGTCAACAACATTTTGTTCGTACGTTGTGGCAAAAACGAAAAAACTTGCTTTGGATGACTATAGTCATCCAAAGCAAGGTTTGTCGTTTTTCGGTATACCGATTTAGACAAAAACGGGTTGAAGGGTCTCTTCGCACGAGCAGTAAGAAACTTTCCGGAGCTATTTGCTGCTGACTACAAGGCCAATATTGCCAAGGCCAGTTCATGGTGGCGCAAACGAGATTGCTTTACGGCTTTAAGGGTGGCGGGCACTCGAATAGGACGTATGACTACACATGGGAAAATGGGCCGGACGCGGCATAACGTCAAAACCCTTTCGGGTCGTGGGCTTAAGAGGGCAGAGTGGGTCAAAGCACTTCATGACGACCTTGTCAATGAGTTTGAGATAGCTCCAGCAGCCAGTGTGAAGATCTCTCCTTCCGTTCTGAAGCAAATTGCGATATCGCTGATACAGCGTGCGCCGTTGAGATCTTCTTACGCGGCAACTGTGCAACTAAACAACATTCCGATAGTGAACAAAATCACGTCCGGCTGGATACAAGTATTCATGGATTCGCATGACACCGTCATTCGCCGTGAGACCGGGAAGCTTTCTGTCAATACTGAGAAGCAGCTTCATATCCAAAAAAGCGAAGCATTCAATCTGGGTACACTGCGAAGAGGCTTTGAGAACTGGGAGCTTCACGAGGATCTCATAGAGAATGCGGATGCGACCCATTTCGTTTTTAATATGGACAACGGACGCACGGTTGGGATGCGAGGAGACGAAAAAGGCGAATATGCAGACATCGTCGTGGGAGATGAAGGCGTCACAATGATGGTGTGCATAACTGGTGGACGAAATGCTCATCTTGAGCCATACATGCTCGTGTTCAAGAATCAGAATACCCTATTAAGGGTGTTCCTGATGCACTTCCGGGCGTTTGATACGGATCGGGACCGAAGGGGTGGATGGATAATAGAGTCTTTAAGGAGTGATTGTCCGAACCGCGAGCTATCGGGAGGCGACATAATGGAAAGCGCCGTACTCTTTTTGTAGACAACTGTTCCGGTCACAATAAGAGCGATGAGGTAGCAGCCTGTCTTGAAAGAATCAACAGAAACCTTCAAAAACTCCCTCCAAATGCCACGGACCTTGTGCAGCCTGCAGATTCGATTATCATTTCTAAGATCAAGGATAACCGGTGGCGTAAGTGGGGCCATTTTAAAGCCGGAGAAATCGCACGAGGGAACGTGATGAGAACTGGCGAAGCACAGTGCGGGAAGCTAAAGAACCCAGGCAAGGCTTTCTTCTTGAAGCTGGCCGCCAGCGCTGTTTACGAGGTCAACACGCAGTGCGAAAAGAGTGGTATCTCATACGAAAGGAAGGCTATGGTATGATCAGGCATGTCCCTCAACTTGAACGGACTGTGGGACGAAAAGCAGCTCTTTTCGGAGCTGCAGAGTACCATAGCTAAGCATCGTAATCATGTTGATGGAGAACAGTTAGAAAATTGCGAAAAGGTTGGTACGATATAAACGACAGTAATGATCTTGCACCCACCGTACTTTGGCGGCTTTTGAATAACCTGGTACATGTTATTTTCAATTCCAACATAGATTAACCTGGATTCAAAATTAGTCTGGACCAGGTTTCTTCTTGTAGCAGAGCGAAAAAGTGCCGTTCAGATTTGACATGGACTATGTTAATTACTGTGATAAGTGTAGTGGATTTGCGTATGGACATTCGGATCGAGTACTGCTCCAGAAGAGCTTCGGATAATACTCACAACTTTACTAACAAATTTCCTAGCGTAAATTCGCCCGAAATTTTTCACAACTATAATTTCGATATAAATTTCTGCAAAAGTTATGAGTGAATTTCTCACGGCAATTGCAGTATTTCGCAGAAATTGCCAAAGTACTTCTTATTCGCATGTAAAGAGCAGAATCATTTCAGATATCCATGTGAACTGAACACTTGGAGAACTGTGGGCTGCATTGTAACAAGTCCAATGACATGTTAGATTTCCAGAGCTTCCATTATCCATCAGAGCACGGTTAGTGTAGGGCTGCCGCAAGTTAGTTAAGCACCGAAGAAATTGGGATGGGCCGCATACGGAGGGAGTGCACAAGAGAGCTAGGAATGTAGAGGTTTCGGGATGTGACAAAAAAGTACTCTTACTAAGAGTAAGCCGTAGTTTAGCGGTGCGCAGGGTTAATAAAATGAATAGAGTGACTTACTTGTGTTGAATGGTTTTTGCAAAGCGGTTCTTAAGTTGGACACACTTGGGGTTGCAGGTTGGGTGGCTCTCAGGGTTAGTGAGGGGTTGTGCCTGCCCCCTTTTGCTTTCCCCGTCCGAACTCTGCGCCTTTTATGGAATTCGGAGCTGAAACTTAGAACGATACAGTACATGCTAGACTACAATAAACTATGCATTCATTCTATTACTTGTCTCCATACAATTGCTTATGTCCTTGCCTTCAATCTCCCAGACCATCCTCTTTAATACTAGGGGACACTGTACTCCTCCTTTGACAATTCTTTTAGGGATGGCATAGAAATTATATTGGAGTTTTATGCCATCCTTTTAAAGAATGGAGGAGTCAGTACATTCGGGAAGGACACGCACAGTATGTTTATACAAAGCAAAATTAGAAAGATATACATACTGTGCTTGTCCTTCAACCGTTACACGTAGTACGGCTTGGCAGAGAAGCATTCGCTCATCACGTGCACGGGACTCTGCCTCCACAAATTTATCACACATCCTAAATTGCATCATTTTTTACTGGTGGTCACCGACTGAGAAAGAAGTGTCGCGGAGTGCTCCCCGTGCACTGGTTGTGGTTAGAGTGCGTTCTGTTCTCCCTCACTGTTCTGTCTCACGACATCACCGGACCACTCTCGGACAGGCTGCGGGCAGTATTTATTATTTTTCAGAGCTCGCTCGTTAATCCGGGCCCGAAGGGCTCACCCCACTAGCCACTTTTTTGATTTTTTTGATCTTTTGTGGTCCGTCGCCCAACCCAGGGCTTCTCCCATCGGCCCGGCTCGTCCTCGACGCCACCGCCGCGGCACACAAAACCTTCGTGCTCGCTCATCCTCCCCTGTGTCCCTGCGCGGCTGTCCGTCGCATCTGAATTTCCTCGAGCCCCGCTTTGTGCAGGGACTCTTCCTTCTCCTCGACACCGCACACGCCGGAGCTCGAGCTGCAATGGCCCCGACGACAGCCCACATGGGCGCCAACGGCGCCCATGTGGCTGATGACACCATGAAGAAACAGCCCAAGTGAGTTGCTTTCTTTGCTCGCGCCGATACCTCTTCACTCTTTTTAATTTTCATCATTTGAACCCAGACCGTTCACTGACCACTCTTGTGTGTTCATCTAATTTTCGGAAATGCCTTGCTTGTAAATAGACCGGAATTCTCACCGGAAGATCTCTTCAAGTACCAAGATGGCGCCGCCGCTGCCGATTTTCTTGATTCTGGAATCGTGCGTTGGTCCCCACCACTAGCCCTCCCCTCTTCGATGTGCGCACCATTTCGAGGCCTTGAGTCTCTTCGCATTTGTGCTAACTTCTTGCTATTGTTTCATGTACTCTTCAGCTCGGCTACACCTACAGCGACTTCGTCATGTTGCCAGGCCACATCTATTTTGGCGTGGAAAACGTCTCCACCACATCGCGTATCTCACGTAACATAAGTCTTAGCCTCCCATTAGTTAGTTCTCCTATGGATACCGTCACCGAGTCAGAAATGGCCATCAACATGGCCCTGCAAGGCGGAATTGGAATTATCCATTACAATAACTCCATCCGTGAGCAGAAGCGCGAAGTCGACCGCGTCAAGCGCTACGAAAACGGCTTCATCACGGATCCCAAGACCCTCTCCCCGAAACATACCATCCGCGACGCTCTGGAAATCAAGAATCGCTACGGTTTCATGGGCATCCCCATCACCGAAAGCGGCGGCATGAACAGCAAGCTTGTTGGAATTGTCACCAATAGGGACGTCGAATTCATTCGCGATAAGGATACTCCGCTCTCTGATATCATGACCACCGAGCTGCAAACCGCTACCGAGGGATGCTCTCTTGAACTCGCATATACAGTACTGAAGGAGTGTAAGAAGGGGAAGCTCCCCATTGTCAACAATGCAGGTGAGCTTGTTGGACTTGTTGCGCGAACGGACATCCTGAAAAATCGCGACTTTCCGGAATCGTCAAAGGATAAGGCTCGCAAGAGGCTATTGTCTGGCGCCTCCATCGGCACGAGGCCAGAGGATAGAGAGCGTCTCGCTGCTCTCGTAGAAGTCGGACTAGATGTACTCGTCCTTGATTCCAGTCAGGGAGATTCAGTCTTTCAGTTGGACATGATTAGGTATGTCAAGGAGAAGTATCCACACCTAGAGGTTGTCGCCGGTAACGTCGTCACACAGAATCAGGCGTACCATCTTATCAAGGCCGGTGCTGATGGCCTGCGTATTGGGATGGGAAGTGGAAGCATTTGTACAACCCAGGAAGTGATGGCGTGCGGGCGAGCGCAAGCAACTGCTGTCTACCGCGTCTCAAAGCTTGCAAAGGAGTTCAATGTTCCTTGCATCGCTGATGGAGGTGTGTCTTCATCTGGGCATATCATTAAGGGTTTAGCTTGTGGTGCCTCGTGTGTTATGATGGGTAGTATGCTGGCCGGAACGGAGGAAAGTCCTGGTGAGTACTTCTACAAAGATGGTGTTCGTCTTAAGAAGTACCGTGGTATGGGTTCGGTCGACGCCATGAAGAAGGGCTCTAGCGTGCGATATTTCTCTGAAGATGACCGTATTCGAGTTGCGCAGGGAGTATCTGGTGCTGTTGCGGACAAAGGCTCTGTCAAACGTTTCCTGCCATACTTGCGAATGGGTGTGAAGCACGGTTTCCAGGACCTCGGAGTCAGAAGCATTCCAGAACTTCATGAACAAGTGTATGACGGCCGGCTGAGGTTCCAGGTCAGGACACCGGCTGCACAGCTAGAAGGCAACGTCCACTCGTTGTTTACATATGAGAAATCAACCCACTAGCATGAAGATACAGCACACATACACACTTCCGTCGTGATGTTGTGGTTTGCAGTCTGCAGTAAACACCATTAACGGATGCGTCACTGTGCATATTAGTTTGGTTCACCTTATGTGAGAGCACTCAGTTGGGCTGGCCGTCAAAACACAGAAAGGTCTGTGGAGCGATTCCCTTTTTCGATTTCGCATTGCTATTCTACTGAAGCTGAAGCACTGGCACACAAACGGGGACCCGTGAGTTAACACAGTGTAGAACTCACTGTCCGGGTAAGGTGTTAACGCTGTTTGAGGGAATTGGCAGTTTTCAATTCCCCCCGCGGAAGAAAGCAGGGAGCCAAGGTTGGAGATCTTTATCTGTCTTGGTGACATTTACTGAATAGCTCTGAGAATATGATAATGCCTCGGCTTGCGTTGTCCAAGTCTTCTTCTGGGCCCGATTTCTGCACACCATCTGGGGCCGATATACTAATGTAGAAGCGTTTATTGATCTTGCGACAGACAGATTCGTGTGTGTCGTAGGGTCACAACGCTACTGGATAAAACCATATTTTACAATTTCATGTGCCGGGAGATTCTTGTGCTCAAACAATCGACCAATGAGGAGCATGCGCAGAGAATTGAACCTGTCAGTGTCACAATAGCGCGAAAGGCACAAGTTCGTCTTCTTTTTCGAAGCCCACCCCTCGCGCCCTCCAACTGGCATCTCTCTCTTACATTTCCGAAGGCTGGCCGTCGCAGTTGAGAGGAACAGAAGTGCCAATATTCTTCTTCCTTTTCATGAAACATCTTTAAGAAAGAAAACGGGAATCCCTCCAGTTCCGGGACCACTGTCTATTTCAGAAGGGCTTTAGTTCGTACCTGTCCCGCGATGGCGCAACACTACAAAAACGAAGACATCACCAAAGCTAGAGTCAGAGTCTTCCTGGGGTGGGACCACTTCAACCCCAAGGGCAATGTAGCTCCAGGTCGCATGGACCAAAATCTTTGTGGTCGACTGTGGACCTGTCATGACCGTAAAGCAGTCAAGCTTTCGGTTGCCTCTCCGGCCAAGCAGTTACGTGCTCCTTCACCCGAGTATCTCGAATCTCTCGAATACCGTGAAGCACGCATAGGAGAGAGCTTCGGTCCAACGTTTTCTACTCATGTCTTTCGACTCAATATCACCGTTCCCGCAAGTATGCACAATCAGCCCATCCATCTGTTGTGGGATTCCAATTCTGAAGCATTGGTGCTTTCTGAAAAAGGGAACCCAATGCAGGGTCTTGTAGGCGGCGACCACTGGGCAAGGAGAGCAGATTATCCCCTTTTTCCGGACCGACCCCACGGTGTCGGTCACAGTGGAGAAACGATAATCCTGTACATAGAGATTTCTTGTAATGGATTATTTGGGGCGGGTCGCGGCGGTGATATCGAACCCCCTCAAAGAGATAGGTGTTTTGAGCTTGAAGAATGCTGTCTTGCCATATTTGACTCTTCGGCTTGGGATCTAATTCATGATGTAACTCTACTTTCTGGCCTCGCTGAGCACCTTCCTGAAGGTCCGCGGAGGGCACGGGCGCTTCAGACTGCGAATGAAGTTGTCAACGCTGTTGAAGTAGGAACGAAATCCACGTACGAAAGTGGGCGAAGAATTGCCGCGAAGTTCCTAGACTGTCGAAACGGCTCCTCTCAGAGCCGAGTTTATTCCATGCTCCATTCCCATATCGATCTAGCGTGGTTATGGCCAATGGCTTCGACGCCATCAAAGGGAGTCCGAACTTTCGCAACTCAGCTGCGACTGTTGGAGCGTTTTCCGGATAGTATCTTTGTGCAATCACAGGCCCAACTCTACGATTGGGTGAAGTCATCGTACCCTTCCCTCTGGGAAGAAGTTTGCAAGAGAGTCCGTGAGGGAAGGTTTGTCCCCGTAGGAGGATCCTGGGTTGAGATGGATTGTAACATTCCATCTGGTGAATCTCTGATTCGGCAATTTGTTGTTGGACAAGCATTCTTTCAGAGAAACTTTGGACTCCGTTGTAAGGAATTCTGGTTACCTGATACGTTTGGATATTGTGGACAGCTACCACAGATCATGCGCGGATGTGGTATTGACTACTTTCTGACTCAAAAACTAAGTTGGAATCTGTTTAATAAGTTTCCGTAAGTTTGGTCTCTGCTGGCTGCACAAATGAGACGAATTAGAGAACCGTCGAGATGCGATACTAACTCGGGGCGTTTTATTTATTTTTTCCTAATGGGTTTGCTTGGTTTACTTCTGTGAATATCCAAATGCAGACATTCAACGTTCGTATGGGAAGGATTGGACGGATCCCAAGTGTTAGCCCATATGCCACCAGCTGATACCTACAACGCACAGGCCTTTCCAGAGGAGGTTATGCGAACAGCAAACAAAAACAAGGATGCAGCTGTGCACAACAGTGCAATCATGCTTGTTGGTCATGGGGACGGCGGGGGTGGTGCATCTCCCGCTATGTTGGAATCGATGAAGCGTATGCATGATCTAGATGGAGTACCAAAAGTTGAATTCTCTACTCCAGAGAAGTTCTTTGAGGGCGTTAAATCTAAACAGCACGATTTGCCAAGGTGGGTTGGAGAATTATACTTTGAACTCCATAGAGGCACCTACACAAATCAGGCCCGCACAAAGCAAAGCAATCGGCAGTGTGAGAATGCATTGCGAGACTTAGAGCTCGTCGGAACCATTGCTGTTCTTGCAAGTCGACGAACTGGAAAAGAATTTTCGTATCCAGCTTCTACTCTTGCAGAATGCTGGAAGTTGGTACTTAAAAACTGCTTCCATGATACGCTTCCTGGGTCATGCATTGGCGAAGTCTATGAAGAGACGACACGAGATTACGCTTTGGTTACCGGAGAATGTACTCTAGAGATTGAAAAGGCGGTGACGTCAATTTCTGAAGCATTCACAGCCACTTATTCCAACGGCGATTCACGAGCGGCGAAGCGCTTGAAGACGCAAGCTACTGAGAGAGAATCACTGAGTCATGACCAACACAGCTTTAATACAGTTCTTCTCCATCGGGGCGCCGCTTGCAAGCCACAAAATGATTTGCCCGTAGTATTTGAGGCGAAGCAATCTCCAGATTTCTTCTTCAGCTCAGGTGTTGGTGTCCAAACGACACGAATGAGTGCTGTCACGTGCTATCCCGAAAACGCAAGCACAACGAATAAGAAGCCACTAGTTCGCTCTATCGTCGCAGTGAAATCACGGCCCTCCGGTCTAGGAATCACATTGCAGCCAGAACTGCTTGACGCTGAAGAGATTAAGAAGAGCATTGAACCAGCAACAGTTGCTTGTCAAGAAGAAAATGGCCAAATGAGGTATGTTCTTGCAAACCGATTTGTCAAAGCCACCATTAGTGCTACAGGGCATATGAGTAGTTTAATCCTTCTGGACGAATCCGGCCGTCATCGTGAAGCCTTAGTACAGACCGCTGGCAAGGCAAAGTCAGAGATCGATGGGGGAAACAGACTAGTGCTTTATGACGACGTGAGCCAATTTTGGTGCGCATGGGACACGGAAGTGTACTCATTTGAGAAGAAATCTGTGATAGGAAATGCGGTAGGGTGCGAGGTAGTCGATGAGGGTCCTTTACGGGTAAGCCTACATTTCACATATCCTTCCACGGAGGCAGGAACAACAGTACGGCAGCTCGTTTCTTTGCGGGCAGAAAGCACACGTGTAGACTTCCGAACAGATGTTGATTGGAAAGAAAGCCGCAAGATTCTTCGAGTCCTGTTCAACACGCGGGTGAAAGCGCCCTTTGCAAGCTACAATAGTCAGTTTGGTTTCGTGCGACGTCCTACCACGTTCAACCATTCGTGGGAGATTGCCAAATTTGAAGCCGTGGGACATCAGTACTGCGACCTGAGTGAGCATCAATTTGGTATTGCACTTCTAAACGATTGCAAGTATGGATATTCTGTTAGGGATAATACCATGCGGCTTTCGCTTCTTCGGGCTTCGAAGTCTCCGGATGACAGTGCCGATATGGGGATGCACCGCATGACGTATTCAATTCTGCCTCATTGGGAATCGTTTCCTACTCGTACAGTGTTAGACGAAGCTGCGGATCTGAACTGGCCTCCCCTGCTTAATCAAGTAAGGCATGCCTGCGCTGGCGCACGGCTCTACAATTTTAGTCAAACCTTTGAGATGGTTGTCACGGGTCCATCGCGAGGGCTTGACACGGTAGTAATTAGCGCCATCAAACAAGCTGAGCAAGCAGAACAGCAAACGAACAACGTTGTGGTGAGAATGTATGAGGCCATGGGAGCACGTGGTCTGGCACAGCTCTCTTGTCCCTCAGGTTTGACAGTCTCTACAGTTCAAGAGTGCAACATGCTGGAGGATACTGTTAGTATGTCTACAGGCACTCTCTCAGTCGCCGAGTCAACACAAGGGTCATGTGTAATTGGCGTCCCTTTCACACCTTTCCAAATCCGTACAATAATGCTCACGCTTGCGGTGAGGGAGTAGCTAGCAGTTGAATTCGTGATTGTTAAACGTTTGACAGCATTTGGGGCCGATAGTTCAATAAGTTTTCCCTTCTAAGCAGCACTGATACGTTTCGTAAAGTTAATGAAAGCAAAGCATGCTCGATGTAAGTAGTACCAGGTATGTACTTAGTAAGTACATACCTGGTACATACCCATACTTCTAACACAGCAAGAGTGCCATTTGCAGGCCGTTGTGCTTAGTTAGAGGGCCATCTTCATCACATACCGTATGATCCACTGTGATTTTTCTCATTCCTCCTCGACTGATAAATATATCATTGGGGGTACCCTTCGAAGGGTACCCATTGAATTGCTGTTTTCTACTTTTTCGGTTCTTTATTTTGTGAGCACAGGGCAGTTGCATGGGTTTGTTGCCCGCTTCCTGCAATTGCCTGGACTTCTTCTGAAGTCCCAGTTCTCGGTTTGTTCTTCGCCATTGCTTGAGAGTGTACACATCACATTTACGCAGCGTCCACTTGTCGGAACTCATCGTCCAAGATTGTCTCATCTCTTTCTCCGGACCCTGGTACTTGCAGAAACTCCAAGCAATCCAATGGACTCCGAAAGAGCACTAGGTTTCATCCAAAGCGCATCGTTTTCCCTACTAACTTCACGAGGGGCTCACCTTCGAACGCGATGCGTGCAGCGGCAAGCGCGGAATTCCACAGGAAGATGCGTTAGGCCCCGTTTTGTCGCAGTAACAAACAACCCATCTAAGCCTGTCGAATCACAAACTCGTCAATCCTCCGCCCTGCTCCTTGTCGATCATGGCTCGAAGAGAGCCTCTGCGAACGAGATGCTATCAAGAGTCGCTGATATGATTCGAGAGAAGAGTGACATCCCTGTTTACACTGCTCACATGGAGATTGCCTCCCCGACGATTGCTGACGGAATGGAACAATGCGTGCAAAATGGGGCAGAGCATGTCATTGTAGTACCATTCTTCCTCTCCCCAGGAAGACATGCGACCACAGACGTGCCAAATCTGGCAGCGGAAGCAGCTGCCCAAAACCGTAACGTGTCTTTCGAAGTACGATCGCCGATTGGAACTCACCCAGGCATTGTGGATGTTATCCTGGACCGTGCTGGTTTACTTTGATATGTACATCAATTAATGGAGTTACACTGTGTCGTGTTTGCACCAAATAATCTTCAATTGAGCAACGTCACTTGCTCGCATTCGCGCCCACTACTCGCAGTAGCGAAGCAGAACCCCTGGCTATTCCTCCTCATATGTCTAGCTTACTTTCCCTCTTTACTCCGTTCGGGGTTCTGGGTGGACACGCTCACAGCTACTGCACCGTAGCCGTGTCGTATATCTGCTTTTTTTGGGGCTGCAACTTCGTTTCGGTCCCGTGTTTACTTCTTTTTCTTTTTGCCTCCTTTCTTCCCCTTATGTTTGTTTGCGAGCTTCTCCCGTAATTCTGCAGCACGATCTGCTTTTCGTGTTTTCTCCTCATTCTTCAAGGCTTCCTCATCCTCTCTTCTTTGCTGTGCAATTTCGCGTTCTCGCTTGATTTCCTCAAGACGTGAAAGATCTTGCTTTGTGGAGTCGACCTTAACAATACGCTTGTGCGTGGCACGGACATCGAGCACCTCAATTTCGAATCGGAGGTCTGCATCTGGGGGAACGTCCTGTGAACCATCCTTTCCGTACGCATACCGGGCAGCAACCGTCAAGGTGGCAACCTCGCCCGCGCGCAGTTCGCGTAGCCCAGCTTCCAATCCGCGGATCAATGAGGACTTTCCAGATGGAGGGATGTCCAGATGCACGATCATAGCATAATTCTGCTCGCGCGAGGAGTCAAAACGATCTCCTGTGGACACCAAGAAGCCTTCATAGTGCATCTCCACAAATGGTTCTTCCTTGGATGGCCGATCTCCGTCGTCAGCTGCCTTTGTCACAGCGAGTAACACGCCGCGGTCTCCTGTTACATCGCGCGTGCCCTCCGGTAAAGGCGGTAGCTTTGCTTCATTAACGCCGTGAGATTCGTCATCTGATAACTTGAGCGTTTCCGTGAACTCGAAGAGATCGGCGCCTGCGTCAAAAGCAGAGGGACCAGCCCCTGGGGTAGGGCTGCTGATGTCAAAATCATCGTCATCCCAATTGCCAAGACTCATGTTGCCGAGGAACTGTATTTGAGGACAAGCAGTGGCACCGGAAAGCAGCAATTTTGTTTCCGGGCTCTTGCGTAAGTCGAAACAGGCCTGGAAAGACACACGGGTTCCAGTCGCTACGAATGCAACCTAATCCCTCACGCGGCTGATAACCACAAGCGAGTTGTTCCGGGCAACCAAGGTCGATAGATGCCACCGCTGCGCTTCAGTACCACAATAAACAAAGGCGGGCGATGGTCAAGACCTCCACGTGTATCTCCCGCGCTTTACGTCCGTTGATTGGCTTGCTGCTTGTTGTACACGTGTACAGCATGTATTATTTCTTTTAATTTTCAACCATAGTTTTCGGGGCACAGAATGTATGAGGCAAGCAGGTTCTTTCTGCTCGGCATTTTCGCGATCATTCTATTTTGTCAAGCAACCGTCAGGCAGCTTGGTCGCGTTCATGTATTGATCCTAGTTTCACAAATTCTACTTTCCGTGGCTTGTTCTACGTTCTTTCAAAGCGGGAATTCCCGACCCATGTGCACACGGATGGGATTTGACGCTGTGCAACTCATGCAACAGCAGGAGACGCAAGTAGCAACCATCCGTTCTTCGCCATCATCAGTACGTTACAGTAATTTTGCTGCGTTTGATTCTCCGTCGTACCGACAGCTCTCACTCATTCTTTCAAAAAGAAAGCTCCATATAACTGAATGGGAATCTCCAATGAAAGGAGTGAACAGCAAGTGGTCCCCCCGAAACCCCCTGGTGTACGTAAACCTCCTCGTGCCGCTCCTACAGTTGGCAAGGTGAAAAAGTTGCTCAAGAAATGTCTCAAGGAAGGCAACTTCACGCCCTTGCCAAGCGTATTTGCGCTTCTCAAGTCAGGCATTGTCACTGCTGATAGTCTTTGCTTCGACTTGTTGGAGGCTTGTTGCATAAGTTCAGGAAAGAAAGACATCCTTCCAGAGATTAGGCAATCACGGCAAACACTCTTGAAAGCACCAGAAAGAAACCCTGAAGATATTCCCGCGGAAGAAAATGATGTCGATAAAAAGGAGTCGAAGAAAAAACTGTTGAACGAACAGCGCGTAGACGAAGATGATGAGGCCGTTGCAGCTGTCAAGGAAGATCCAATAGACTGGTTATCAAAGTTGCAATCCATTATAAGCAAGCCAGAAGGTGTATACGAATTGTTTGTATCCAAAATCCGCTCTCGCCCCAAATTTGCTATTGAAGCAGATAATTTGCGAAACGTGCTTCACGTCCGAATCTCAGTAACATTAGATGTTTCGCAGAAAATGCGGCGACTTTTTGGAGATCTAGTTACCGGAGTCGGAAGCTGTCGGTATGGGCCCACGGATGACACACATCAAGGGAGCAAAGTATACATAAGTGCAACAAAACAGGCAGCGAAGGAGTGTTTTCATACCCTGCAAAAGATGGGAAGGGACGTGACGAAGAATGCTGCAGAAACGCTGCAGGCGAGCCTTTCAAGTTACTGCGACGTTTGGCGAACAGCTGATTTCAGCAAATCTTGCACGGTGGCATACCGACGAGCGAAGCAACTAGTGATTAGCGATCACGATGCCGGTTTGTATGGAGCAAAAGTGTTTATGTATGGTTCTGGGAGCGTCGGTCTCGCGCTCGGGAGTTCGGACGTTGACATTGCCGTCATACTGCCGGGTAAACCCGATGCACTTGATGGCAAGAAGAACGAGCCGCAAAAGAATAGAAGGACAGAAGTGCTGGCGTTACTTCGGAGGTGTGCCGTGAAAGCCAAAATGGAAACGGTTTGCCTCATTGACTCTGCGAAGGTGCCTGTACTACGATACTGGGATCCAGTAGCTCAAGCTGATGTGGACATAACTCTGAGCACCGATAATCCTATCTTGCTTTCTCGTTTCATGCGATGTCACATGCAGAGTGACGCTCGAGTTTGGGAACTCTGTATGTGTATCAAATACTGGGCGAAGCAAAGAAAGGTGACAGGGGTTTTTCCTGATGGGTTCATCAATTCGATTGGATGGACAATTATGGTCATCTTCTTCCTGCACCACATTGCAAGTCCTCGTGTTGGATCATTGTTCCGTGTCAAAGGAAAGGAATCTAATCACTGTGCGATTGTAAAAGTCCCTTGGCTGTTGGGGTGCTTTCAAGCCATGGGACAGAAGCAGACAACGTCTGTGTTATTGATGCGGTTCTTTCAGTTTTTTGGGTCTGAATTTGATTTCGTCAAATTTGCTATTTCCTTGAACTGCCACGCACTCTCTGATGCGGAAGCGGCACGGATCAACATGAACTCACCAGTGTTTATCGAACATCCGTTGGTGCCGGGAACAAATGTGGTGAATCACGTGACAAAAAGTAGCCTAGAAAGAACCTTAACAGAAATGCGGAGAGCTTGCTTCATGTGCCTTACAGTTGGCGACGCGGAAACACTGTTCAAGGAGAGGATTGGAGATGCATCGGACAGGACAGAATTCTTTCGTGACTAATTGAAAAAGTCCTGATTTGCATCATAATATCCGTGACTGTTTTGCTCTTATTACAAGTACCGTACGTAGAGCTAGAACAGCAGAAATGTATCAACTACAGCCAAGTGCGTCTCTCCCAGCGCCTGCAATCAGCTTCATCATCCCCTGTGCCGCACACATGACCTCCTTGTCCAAGAACAACGCACACCCTACCCATGTTGCGGAGACGACTGGAGAGCGGCCAGTCAGCATCTGAAAGTCGATCTGGTAAGCAGCAAGGGGAGGGTGCATCGCAGGACAGTCCTCTGCCGAAGACGCACGGGGGTGGACGATCTGGTTCATCTTCACCCGGGTCGCCGAAGAAGAAGAAAGCCAAGCCTGAAATTTGAGGTCCTCTTGTTTTTTTTCCGACTTGTCGCTGAGTGAGTCCGCAGGCGTCCGTTTGATATGAGCGTAGACATCAAGATGCATGTCAGAGTATGAATAGGAGCATGCCACCGTTCGCGTTGGAAACAGAAGGCCTTTATCGCGTCGCAAATATGTCTTCTGCACACGGCGAAGGAGAGTTGCCTCCGGCGCGCAGAGGCAAACGTTATGCTTTTGGGTGTGCGTGTCAGATATGCGGGCTACTTTTCGTTAGTAATGGCTGTGAAGATAAACTGGATCTATATTACTTCTCACAACTTTCTCACAACTATGGCTTTTCATTTACTATCTTCAATTGCTTGCATGATTTGGCATAATCAAGAACACTATCTAGTTGTCCGCTATAATATCTGTCACGGCTATCCCGTACAGACTGCAAATCTGACTTCCCCTCCTAAGAGCATATCTTTTCTTACCTTTCTGTATGCTTTGGCTCTACTTATTTCTTTCTGGACGGGCTGTTGGTGGCCGAACCATTGGGCGAACCATTGTGGTGGCTTCGGGTTGGACTTCTATCGCGCTTTTTCAAGCTCTTGTTCTCTTTCCTCAATTTATCTATCTCTACATCTTTCTCTGTAATCTTTGCATCTTTCTCTGCAATCTTTGCATCTTTCTCTGTAATCTTTGCATCTTTCTTTGCAATTTTTGTGTCCCTGTTCTGCAACTCGTATTCAATCACCTTAGTGCCACTCGGAGGATTGAGCAACTCTTTCACCGTTATCTTGTCTTCACGGCTGAAGATACCGCATATGACGGACTCATTTCCACGATAGATCTTTCTGTGGTACATCATCGAACTGCCACTGGCGCGAGTGGTTATAGTAGGATCGCCAGACGCTTGTCGGTCTCCGACCTTGTCGCTTCGGCCATGAAGTTTACCCACAATGACGCAAGCATCTTTTCCACCAACTCCACCACGGTCGACAATAACGTATTCTTCGATGTTGGCTCGGCGGTACGCTCTCCACTTACTGTCGAGGTCGATATTGCGAGTGGAGGGACTCGTGACCTCAAACACGAGTACGGGGGGATCAACGTTTTTTCCAAACCTGATTGTCTTTGATTGCTCGCCTGCTGTGGACTCCATAGCTCTATCGTCACGATATTTGCCGATGGAGACGTCCGGCTCGCGTACCGTGTCCGATTTTCCGGAGGAACTAGACCCACCTGGGGAGGACGTAGGTGAGCCGGAGTCATCGAACACCTCACCGAACTGAGCCTCCAGAGCCCTCCTGCGACTCGGTATGTACACTTTTCCTCGTCCATAAATGGTTATGTACGCTTTCTTAGTGGCGTGAAGAACTTGAGCTTTGCTGATAATGTAGGACACTATGCGTTCGTGCAAGTTATCGCCCATCCTTGGTGAGAAGACAAGCAAGCCGTCGACGAGGTCGTATTTCTCACGGTCACCTTGCGGAAGTTCGGCGTACCGCGTAAACGTGCAGGGGGTAAGATGAAGGGCCCTGGGTTCTTCGTCGATGTGGACCGAATGACCTGGTCGTTTTGCCACTTGTGCAGGACCTGGAAAATCTGCAACAAGTTCGTCGACGATTGCAGACGGGGCGCTATTGTTGTCCTTCGTTATGGTTGAGGCCATGTCCATGCAGTGCCGTCGTTCCGTGCGGTCGACACGGGCTTTAGGGGTTATATAGAATGGTTCTTGAAAGCTGGAAGACGCCAGGTAACTTTGGATGATCACCAGGACGACTGAAATAGCCAGTTTATCCCAAAAAACTGGAGATCTAAAATGTTAAAGGAGGGAGGAATATAGGGTCCACTGCAAACGTTATGTTGGAAAACACGTGTTTTGGCAAAAGGCTAACATGTACATTCGAGTCACGACAACTTGTTTGTCTCAGTTGGCCTACGCATCCTGCTACTTTCCTAAAATCAAATCCCATTGCCTATTCATCCCCATACTTCCTTATCCTATTTGCCTACTTCCCCGACCCTCCCCTACCCTTCGTCGAGCCTTGTCCGCTCCGGCCTTTCTTCTTGTTCGGGCTGCTGCTGGGCGAGTCATTTTTGTCCTTGCTTCCGCTTGCCCCTGTATTATCCGGACTTCTGTCGTTTCGGCCGCGCTTATTCTGCATCTTTTCGTTTTCCAATCTGTCTACGAACGCCAGAGCTTCGTCCCTTTCTTTCGTGATTTTCCTGATCTTTGCATCTTTCTCTGTAATCTTTGTGTCCCTGTTCTGCAACTCGTATTCAATCACCTTAGTGCCACTCGGCGGATTGAGCAACTCTTTCACCGTTATCTTGTCTTCACGGCTGAAGATACCGCATATGACGGACTCATTTCCACGATAGATCTTTCTGTGGTACATCAGCGAACTGCCACTGGCGCGAGTGGTTATAGTAGGATCACCAGACGCTTGTCGGTCTCCGTCCTTGTCGCTTCGGCCATGAAGTTTACCCACAATGACGCAAGCATCTTTTCCACCAACTCCACCACGGTCGACAATAACGTATTCTTCGATGTTGGCTCGGCGGTACGCTCTCCACTTACTGTCGAGGTCGATATTGCGAGTGGAGGGACTCGTGACCTCAAACACGAGTACGGGGGGATCAACGTTTTTTCCAAACCTGATTGTCTTTGATTGCTCGCCTGCTGTGGACTCCATAGCTCTATCGTCACGATATTTGCCGATGGAGACGTCCGGCTCGCGTACCGTGTCCGATTTTCCGGAGGAACTAGACCCACCTGGGGAGGACGTAGGTGAGCCGGAGTCATCGAACACCTCACCAAACTGAGCCTCCAGAGCCCTCCTGCGACTCGGTATGTACACTTTTCCGCGTCCATAAATGGTTATGTACGCTTTCTTAGTGGCGTGAAGAACTTGAGCTTTGCTGATAATGTAGGACACTATGCGTTCGTGCAAGTTATCGCCCATCCTTGGTGAGAAGACAAGCAAGCCGTCGACGAGGTCGTATTTCTCACGGTCACCTTGCGGAAGTTCGGCGTACCGCGTAAACGTGCAGGGGGTAAGATGAAGGGCCCTGGGTTCTTCGTCGATGTGGACCGAATGACCTGGTCGTTTTGTCACTTGTGCAGGACCTGGAAAATCTGCAACAAGTTCGTCGACGATTGCAGACGGGGCGCTATTGTTGTCCTTCGTTATGGTTGAGGCCATGTCCATGCAGTGCCGTCGTTCCGTGCGGTCGACACGGGCTTTAGGGGTTATATAGAATGGTTCTTGAAAGCTGGAAGACGCCAGGTAACTTTGGATGATCACCAGGACGACTGAAATAGCCAGTTTATCCCAAAAAACTGGAGATCTAAAATGTTAAAGGAGGGAGGAATATAGGGTCCACTGCAAACGTTATGTTGGAAAACACGTGTTTTGGCAAAAGGCTAACATGTACATTCGAGTCACGACAACTTGTTTGTCTCAGTTGGCCTACGCATCCTGCTACTTTCCTAAAATCAAATCCCATTGCCTATTCATCCCCATACTTCCTTATCCTATTTGCCTACTTCCCCGACCCTCCCCTACCCTTCGTCGAGCCTTGTCCGCTCCGGCCTTTCTTCTTGTTCGGGCTGCTGCTGGGCGAGTCATTTTTGTCCTTGCTTCCGCTTGCCCCTGTATTATCCGGACTTCTGTCGTTTCGGCCGCGCTTATTCTGCATCTTTTCGTTTTCCAATCTGTCTACGAACGCCAGAGCTTCGTCCCTTTCTTTCGTGATTTTCCTGATCTTTGCATCTTTCTCTGTAATCTTTGCATCTTTCTTTGCAATTTTTGTGTCCCTGTGCTGCAGCTCGTACGCAATCACCTTAGTGCCACTCGGAGGATTGAGCAACTCTTTCACCGTTATCTTGTCTTCACGGCTGAAGATACGGCATATGACAGACTCATTTCCCCGATAGATCTTTCTGTGGTACATCGGCGAACTGCCACTGGCGCGAGTGGTTATAGTAGGATCACCAGACGCTTGTCGGTCTCCGTCCTTGTCGCTTCGGCCATGAAGTTTACCCACAATGACGCAAGCATCTTTTCCACCAACTCCACCACGGTCGACAATAACGTATTCTTCGATGTTGGCTCGGCGGTACGCTCTCCACTTATCGTCGAGGTCGATATTGCGAGTGGAGGGACTCGTGACCTCAAACACGAGTACGGGGGGATCAACGTTTTTTCCAAACCTGATTGTCTTTGATTGCTCGCCTGCTGTGGACTCCATAGCTCTATCGTCACGATATTTGCCGATGGAGACGTCCGGCTCGCGTACCGTGTCCGATTTTCCGGAGGAACTAGACCCACCTGGGGAGGACGTAGGTGAGCCGGAGTCATCGAACACCTCACCAAACTGAGCCTCCAGAGCCCTCCTGCGACTCGGTATGTACACTTTTCCGCGTCCATAAATGGTTATGTACGCTTTCTTAGTGGCGTGAAGAACTTGAGCTTTGCTGATAATGTAGGACACTATGCGTTCGTGCAAGTTATCGCCCATCCTTGGTGAGAAGACAAGCAAGCCGTCGACGAGGTCGTATTTCTCACGGTCACCTTGCGGAAGTTCGGCGTACCGCGTAAACGTGCAGGGGGTAAGATGAAGGGCCCTGGGTTCTTCGTCGATGTGGACCGAATGACCTGGTCGTTTTGCCACTTGTGCAGGACCTGGAAAATCTGCAACAAGTTCGTCGACGATTGCAGACGGGGCGCTATTGTTGTCCTTCGTTATGGTTGAGGCCATGTCCATGCAGTGCCGTCGTTCCGTGCGGTCGACACGGGCTTTAGGGGTTATATAGAATGGTTCTTGAAAGCTGGAAGACGCCAGGTAACTTTGGATGATCACCAGGACGACTGAAATAGCCAGTTTATCCCGAAAAACTGGAGATCTAAAGTATTAAAGGAGGGAGGAATGTAGGGTCCACTGCAAACGTTATGTTGGAAAACACGTGTTTTGGCCGCGAGTTTTGCTCGGATTTTCAACCGCGTTAAGGGTCCACTGCAAACGTTATGTTGGAAAACACGTGTTTTGGCCGCGAGTTTTGCTCGGATTTTGCATTGTCACCGTACACAGTGTACAGTGACTTGAGATGCCCAACCGCACCATGAAAGACAGTCTCGTTCTGTCTCAAATGTGTCCGCTCCCGCTCCCGCGAACCTATTCTTTAACAGACCCCTCACACCCGCGCCCCGCAGCTCCCTCCGAACCTCTCCCCTCCACCCGCCCGCATCCATCCGCATGATTCCATCCACCCGCTTCATCCTCAGGAAACAAGCCGGCCATTGCTCCGAGATGGACGCTTCGAAAACATGATCCCACCGAATCCCAACCTGGCGCTTGTACTCACCATCTTGGCAACCCTCGTGCTTACCTCCACCGCCCAACTTTGTTGTCAACACCGGTCTTGTAGATTATTGGTGTGGCGAATGAGAGGTCCGCGTGGACTTCCTTTGCGACTGGCCTGGATGCAGAGACGAAGGAGTGACGCGTGTTTTGGCGGCGGGTTGGTCGCAGATTCAGGGTGAATCAGTTGGATGGCTCTGCGGTCTAGGCTTGCAGCCGGGACCACAGCTTTCTTGTCAGGATATGATCCGCTCTTGCAATCCATCTCATGTCCGCGTAAGCGTTGGGCTGTCGTCATCAATTTGTCGTTCTTTCATCTCATAAGCCCACCTCGCAGCACAGGCTCAAATCATCGATAGGAGTTTTCTTTGTGTAGATCAAATGCAACTACATTGCCGAAAATTCGATGTGGCTCGAACAGACTGACTGAAACTGCGATGTACAAGAAAGCGCCCCTAAGAGCATCCCCACCATGAGCAAAGAGTTAAAAGGTAAAATTTTAGCTTTTACACCCTGGTGAATCCGCTCCACCGGGGAGTCTAAAGCTAAAATTATTTAGCCCGGGGATATTTCCAGGGTGCAAATCGGTCGGTTTCACACCTCGAAAATAGCCCAGAGCCAAAAAGTCCATGACACAAGTGTGAAGCAGTTATTGGTTTCTGGTCGCTGGAATCTGCTCGTATAGTACTTCCCGTTCTCCTACATGTTTCGCTCGCGTATTGCCGCGCTTCCCCCTCCAACCTGCGCCTCTCCTTCTTCATCGATTGCAAGGTACATGCGATCTTTCCCACCCACCACCCTGTTTATGCGCTCCCTTTCGCACACCGCTCTCCCAGGTGCAGAACATGCTCCCACCAATCCACCCAATCATTTCCTATTCCATCTCGAGCCTCGTTCCCATCACATTAATGGCCGGTACAGACCAGCCGAAATCCAGAGGATTTAACTATTCCTCCAATGAAGACTGCTCCATTTGAGTGCGTTTCTGCATTTAGCTCTGGCAACACCGGTGGAGTGTGTTGATGTCGGAGCTAAAATGCCAAATGTGAACAAATGCACCTGGGCATGCGCACCAGTATTTGAATGACAAGTGTTGAAAATATTTGGCTCTTTGCTCATTTATTCTCCAACCGGTGGGGATGCTCTAAGAGCACCCCTATCGGTTTGTCTAAATTTGGTGGCTAAGAGCATCCCCACCGGTACGCAATCAAATCATCAAATAACAACACTTGGCACACTTTTTCTGTAATTTGATTGGCTCCCTAGAATTTGGTTGTTTCGTTATTTGGCTGTTTGATGCTTCGGAAAGAACTGCCCCACCGGTGAGAACCAAATGAAGTACTGTACATTCCCCTCGTACTCACCATCGCATCCTTGTACTCACACTCGTACTCACCCTCGTATCGCACCCTCAGTCGTAGTCGCACGCTCACTCGAAACCCATCCCGCGACCTTCTCCCTCGCCACTCTGTCTGCACTCCTTCCCTCTCACCTCCACCGTGGACAAAGACAGACTGCCGGCGCTGTCCTCCCTGCTCACGGACAGCACGCGCTCCCCACGCGACCGTGAGCAGCGCGATCCCGGAGAGAACATACGCGCCGGCGGCAGCGGTGCTGCAGCGGATGATTGGCTCGACAGCCGCGAGCGACGTTCTCCTGCGGCTGCTGCTGCTGCTGAGCAGCGAATCGCACTGCTCTAGCACTGTCTGCGCTTGTGAACCTGTCGGAGGACGAGGAGCCGGCGGCTCTGACGCACGCGGACGCGGTGCGGCTCGCAGCGCAGGTGGTCCTGGGCGCGGACGTCGTCGCGCTGCACGCGGCGCTGCTGTCCAACCTGACGCGCTTCGCGCCGGGCGTGGACGAAGCGGAGGGCGCGGACGGGTTCGGGAGAGGGGCACGCTACTCGTGCTCGTGGAGAGGGTACCGAGTATTCCGAATGTGCTGCGGCTGTCGAATGCGTGCGCGAGCCAGGAGGGGAGGGACGTCCTGTTGGTCGAGGGAAGGCAGGCGGAGAGACAGCTGTTGACGAGGTTGCTGAGATTGCTGGAGGCGGGGGAGGCAGAGAAGAGGCTGGCGCGGGCGAGCTGGGTGCGGAACTGCGCGATGGCGGACGAGTGCCATGATGTGTTGGTGGGGGTACGGCGGCGGTCGCAATGTGCTTGGGGAGGTCAAAGGAGGTGGGACGGGAGGAGATGGCGGAGATTCGCGCCTGGTTGGTCGAGGAAGTGTTGTTGTTGTGTAAGAGCCGGGTGGGGAAGGACGCGCTCAGGGATGGCGGGGCCGTCGACGTTCTGGAGGGATGGAAGAGGGAAGAGCATCAGGGATGGCGGGGCCGTCGACGTTCTGGAGGGATGGAAGGGGGAAGAGCATGCACGCCGTAGTGGGCATCCTGGATAGGCGGGAGACACTGGTAATCTCGAGGCAAATACCGCATCGATGCACTTTTTGGTGGGAAGCCGTTTCGGTCGACCAATAGAACGTGCACAACTGGATTGTCAAGGGTAATCAAACAGAGACTATCCGAACCAAATTCTTGATATTTGGTTCCGATTTTTAGATCGACACCAAAAATTTGATGATTTGGTTGCACCGGTGGGGATTTCAATCGACATCAAATCATCAAATTTTGGTTGTTTGGGTATTTGATTCTACCGGTGGGGATGCTATGATCCGTGAGCACGGGTAACATGCAGCGGGTAACAGCTCATACGCCCCATACCAGCGGGCCACTGCCAAAAATTAAAATTGCGTGAATCTGCAAACTATTTAAAACATTGTTTAATACATTATTCAAAAATATTAGTATTCATGAAGAATTGAACTCGCGACCAAGAGAAAAGGGTGGCAGGGAGAACCAGTCGGGCGAGATGGAGCGGGCGATGGAGCGGGCGTTGGCCGCGAGCGGGAAGTGCAGCGGGTTGGAGAAGGTCGATAGGAGGGCCGGGTCGTGGCGGAGCAGGGTGGCGGGGGAGACGTAGAAGAGCCCGTCGTCGTAGGTGCGCGAGAGCCCGTCGCAGTGGCGCACGAGGAAGTGCAAGTCTTGGGGACGGCGGTGAGCGTGACGATGTTGCTGACGGTGCGAGGTGTGAGGCGACGGGTGTTTTCGCGGACGGGAGGCAGCGCAGGACGGCTCTTGAGAGCCACCGCTGAGATCAGCGGTTGCTGTGGAAGTTGCGCGCCGTGGAGATGGCGTAGATGTAGAGGGGCGTAGCGGCGCGGCGCTTGCAGCGTGGCCGCATGAATGTCCGCCGGACGGTGTCGCATGCGCTTTTATTGGGCTTTTATTCGCCTACCCTGTGGGCTCCTATCGCTCTTTTTTTACCCTGCATCCGACTTACATCCGGCCCGGTGACCCAGGCCAGATTTGCACATCCTGTTTCACATCCGGCGCGTCGTGCCACAGCGGGTAACATGGGGGGTAACATTCGGGCGAGCGGCAAAATCAAGCAACCTGGAGCGATTTGGCACCACAGCGCTGCCAGCATAGCCACGTGTGCTCAATTTGGCCCGTTGCGCGGCCCCGGGTGCGCGCCTGTTACCCAGCGGCTACGGCGGCGATTGTTGTTACCCGGACCGAGGATGCTCTAAATGTGTAAAATTTTGCGTTTGCATATAGCATTTCTGTGCGCAACACTATCGGTTTAGGAGTAAATTTGAAATTGAAGTGCCCTGATAGGGCATAGTGTACGAGGGGTGCGAGGCATCGAGTACGAGAGGTACTGTGTTGACCAGAGTTGTGCGGGCATATGGAAGTACGGGCAGGGTTGCCCGCGGGTATCGGGGCATGTACAGTGCGCGAAATTAGAATAAAATACACCCATCGAGCACCACATAAACTACACTTCCTGAGCCCCTTTTTAAGAATCGCTTCGTGCACAGTACCACCGCAACGCGATAGAAACGTCTGTATAGGCCAAATAGTGTATAAGGATACTGTTCTCGCTCTATTTCTATAAAACCGGGCGAAACTGGGATACATACGCGAATCCCATATAGCACAGTACATTGAAGGCGCCAAAACAAGCGTCGATTGCGCTATATCTTGCTATAAACGTGAGCAACTGGACGTTTACCATTCTTCTCTGCAACTGGAAGCGTGAATTCCGCTGAAACCACAATTGCAATGCCCCGGGGCCCTGCCATTACCGATATCGAGCGCGGACAAATATTGGCACTCCACAACAAATGCATCTCCTTCAGACGCATTGCGCAGATGGTTCATCGCTCGGTGGGAGCAGTGCAGGGTGTAGTGCGTCAAGGCTTTAAATGTAAGCACCCCAAGCACTGGAAAGGAAACCAGAAGATCTCCGAAACCCAAAAGAGGGCTATAATTCGTGAAGCTTTAAAGGGTGAAGATAGTGCAAGAACAATTCAGGCCGAGCTGAAATTGCCAATCGGTCATAGACGTGTCCAGCAAATCTTCAGCGCAGTTCCATTTCTCAAGTATAAAAAGATGATTACGGCACCACAAAGGACCCCTCAGCACAAAGACATGAGGGTAAACTGGTGTCGTAAATTCATAAGTAAAGGCGAAAGTTTCTGGAACGCTGTGGTGTTTAGCGATGAGAAGAAGTTTAATAGCGACGGTCCGGATGGTTTTGCATCTTATTGGCACGACCTTCGCACTACAGAGCGCATTTTTTCCAAGCGTCAAAATGGCGTGTTTTCCGTCATGGTTTGGGGGGCTGTTAGTCTCTATGGTGTATCTTCGATAATGTTCATGGATGGGAGGCAGGACTCTAAGAAGTACGTTGATATTTTGCGTCATGGCTTACTCCCGTTTGCAGCCGAGGTGTTCCGAGAAGAACAACGCTGGTTTTTTCAGCAAGATAATGCGCCGATACACACCTCTGGTTTTACGAGAAGCTGGCTCTCTGAGCATTCTTTCTCTACTCTACCGTGGCCAGCGAAGTCCCCCGACGTTAACATTATAGAAAATGTTTGGGGCGTGATGGCGAGGATGGTTTACGCCAGGGGTAAGCACTACCAAAATGTTGAGGATTTGAAGGTGGCTATTGAGGAAGCATGGTCTACTGTAGGGTCGGGCCTTTTATTAACGCTTTACAAGAGTCTTCCTCCTCGCATGCATGCCGTCATGGATGCGCGAGGTGGCGCAACTAAGTATTAAAGGCTTGTTTGTGCTCTGTGTCATATCAAATTTCGCGTATTTATATCAATTTCGTCCACGTTTTTAAAGATATCTCGATAACGGTGCCTGGTATCATTGTTTTGAGTTGATAGGCGTTTTCATCGGCACGTGTGGGCACTGGATACGTCCCAGTTTATGAACGGGCCGCC